TCCCTTTCTGATACCACCCCCTCCCCCTTCTCTGTAACATAGAATGTAGTAAAACAAATTTATGTAGGTATAAAATATACTTTGTTTTTGAAACCTCAATGTCTTAAGGAATTTAGCATAAGGTCTGACCAGGGCCTGACTTGTTTAGATTTACTTATAAGAATTGCAGACTGGACACTGAAAGTCTGTTGGAAGTTGTGCCTTTTTGCTTAGAAGTCCATTGGAAGTCCAGTGGAAGTCCAGCAGACTGAGAACTTAGCAATTATGATGGTTTCTGCCTCTGTCCGTTGGAAATCCGATGGAAGTCCAGCAGACGTCCAACGGACACAGAATTCCGGCCAGTCCAACCATTTCTTGCTTCTAAGTAGTTTGAGTGGACTTTCACTGGACTTTGCCTGGACTTGCAGCAGAATCCAGTCATGTCCAACGGACTCCGACGGTCTTCTGACAGACTGTCCACTGAGTCCATCGGAAATGGCAGGGTCCGATGAAAGTCCGTTGGACAAGCAGTGGGAGTGTAAAGTACTGCTTTTCATCTACTTTCCTCAAAGTGTCCATCTTCTGATCATCTATCCTACAGTTCACATCGTGCACCATACCCCCCCATGAACTCAATGCAGGTGTTTTGGGATATTATTAGACTGGAAAGCTCCCTGTAACACCACTTTCAAGATGACGAACAATAAACTGTACATTTTTACAGTGCAGAGGAGAGGCTAGTCATGCAACGGTAGACAATTTGTGCTGTTTATCAGGTGAGCATCCATGGTTCGAGTGACGCTTCCCTTTCTAAAGCACCATTACCAGAAGGTGGTTCACTCACCCATACCAACTCCTGCGGCAATCAACTGCCCCGAACTTCGTGATGATGCTGCTTTTTGGCTTGCCCCACTTAGATCTCAGCACTCCGCAGCTGTACCGACAGCTCACCGTAACAACAATAATCCAACCCAAGAAACTCCGGTGGTGCACAGATGCCTCATTGTGCTTCCATCATTCGATACTTCGGTAGGTAGGACTTTGGATCTTCAATTGTAATCATTCCATCAGCCTGACAATAGAGTTTCGTATAACTGCTTGGTATGACATCATGCCTCCCCTCTTGATGATGAGCTAATTGGTTGGTCTTTGGTAGGATCTGCAAGGCAAGGTCCGAGCTGCAGGAAACCAAGATCATCCTTGTGATCCCCATCGTTTGTCGTCAGCTGCAGTGGATCCTTGTCCTCCTACAGGATATGAATTACAACCGGATCTAGTGAGGATGATAGTAGGGAGAGGGATGAGAAGGAATGTGAGGAACACCAAGGATGGATGAGAGGAGGTAGAGCTGGAATGGCGTCTAGCGAGACAGGGATCGCTAAGGTCTACTTGGATGGTGGTGAAGAAGCTAGGTATGTGCACTCGTCTTTTGGCTCTCAATGTAATTTAATGTTTGTTCTAGGTTTCTGGTGGAGTCTCCATAGTGGATCTCCTGCTCTTGTAAATATCCACTGAAAAGTGTTGTTTTCTTTGTTTTTCTCACACTTCTCTGTTGACTGCCATCCTTTCTGGTGCCCCCTCGCTGAGTTGATGCCCAGCCATGCCATTGTGCATCAACTTCTCAGAGCACAGTGAGGGATCTCAATCAGGAATGGACATCAGCTGACTCTGTGAAACGATGTACCCATCTGGACAATTGACGCCGCACAGCATTCACAACTCTCTTCTGGACCACAATGTCTGATTCTAGTTGCCCTCGTGAAAATCATTTGAAAGGAAAGTTCAAGGGGATGCTTGACCAGCTCATGGGCGCAGACCGCCCATGCCCTACTGCTTCAAGGTTGGAGTTCATGACTCCCACCCTGACAGATAGCATCCTGATGAGATTTAGGTCCATTATGAGGGTGCCGGGGGTTATGGGGGGAGGAATGTCTCTGGTGCATGTTTATAATGCTTGAATAAATTCTTTGGCTCATGCCCTTTGTCTTTGGGGATCCTAGAATGTATTCCTGGGAGCTCACAACTTCATTATAAGTAGTGTTTGAAAGTCCGGTTCAGTCCGGTTTTCTGATGCCCAGGGGCATTAACTGTAACCGTAACCAGTCTGCCTTTTCCCCAGAAGTCAAAAGACCAGACTGGACCACAAAAAACCATGGTCTGCGGTCTTTTTGCAGTCTATAGACCAGTTTCGGTCTGCATCAGTTTTAACCGGTTTATGACCAGTCTTTAGGCTAATATTTTAAAATTATGAATCGGTAAATTTATTAACATCTCTATTAGCTTCACAACGAGCCCAAGAATGTCAAATTCCGTTAGGAATTGGTGCTTCTATAAAATAAGTCTGGTACATCTATTATTCCCAAAAGTAATTTACATTTTAATTCATATCTCTCTCGTTTTTTTTCCAAATCGTACGTTCTTGGGTGCGTTTTAAAGGGTATTTAAGGGGCTACAAAAGACGGGTTCACGTTAACCGGTTTTTTTGCGGTCTTTACATCTCAAAAATAAAAGACTGTAACTGCAGGTCCGGTCTTTGTGGTCTTGGTCCAGTCTGGTTACGGTCTTTTTCCAGTCACGAGACCGGACTTCCAAACACTAGTTATAAGGGACACAACACTCTATGTGGTGCAAAATGTGTGTAGTGTCACAACAGCTTTGATTGTTTGAGATATTGATTAGACTTACAAGATCGAGGTCCATGAACATGCCAGTGGGGGTCAAGATGATTCACTCCTCATTCCACAAAGACCCAATTCAAGTGCTTTATTTACAGGCTGTGAGGATGTTCTCAAGAGGCTGATGGATCACTTTTCACCTCAAGATCAAGTAGATAGAAGCAGGAAGTCTTTTTGTTGTATGGTATGGGGGGTATTGGCAAGACACAGATTTGTCTGAAGCTCATTGAAAATATGGGTGAAAGGTAAGTTTCTTCACATACTATATTTCTGATCTTCTGACAAGTACATCTAGATTCTCTCATGTTTTCTGGATTGATGCATCTTCTGAAGATACTATTGCCCTTGGGTTGAAGGGTCTTTGCTCTCGTTCTGAGGCTAAAGCTGCTGGTGTCTCTGTGTCCTCTGAGTCTGCTCTTATCTGGATCGGATCCCTGCAGAGTGAATGGCTGCTTGTGTTTGACAATGTTGATGGTGCACCTGAAGTAGTAGAAAAGTTTATCCCATCTGGTTCTCAGGGCAATATTCTGGTTACTAGCAGAAATTGATCTCTTGGGTGGGTGACATCCTATGAAAATTCTCTTGAGGTTAATCAGATGGCTGAAAAGGAAGCCATATCACTCTTGCTGAAAGCCAGCCATTTAACTGGAGATGTCTACAGCACGGCTCAACAAATTGTAAATGAGCTCTGCTGCTTACCTCTAGCTGTTGACCAAGCAGGAGCTTCCATTGAAGCTGGTCTCTGTGATATTGATAATTACCTTGAGCATCTCTCTCGACATAGGAACAAGCTTATGAACTACCCTTTATTTAGGGGTGCATCTCAGTACAATCGTACAGTCTATGAAACATGGGATTTGTCATTCAATGAAATTGAATCAAGGGCAAACAGGAAATCTGATGGGCATGGTAGAGCAGCTGCTCAGGCTACTCTTCTTATTCTGGAAACTGCTGCATTTCTACATCATGAGAATATCATTGAGGCTGCCTTTAAAAAGGCTGCTGTTGAGTTCTCCAAAGGACTGCATAGTGGACTAGAAGAAGAAGTTGAAACACATATGAATAAATTGCTTCAGCTTGAAAAAGATCAGTCTTGGAATCAATTCTTCTTTCATGAATAGTGTTTAAAGGTTCAGTCCATAGGACCGCAAAAAACCGGTGGACCGAACTGAACCGGACCATGGTCCGGTCTTTTTTTCGGTTGCAGTTGCCCCAATTTGGGGTTGGTCTGGTTGCCGGTTGCCTCATTTCGAAAATCTTTTAAAACCATTCAAAGACCGGTTTTAATCGGTTGCAACCGGTTAAACGGTCACGTGCGTTACATACCCTTGTAACCACGTTTATTGCCTTTTATTGGGTTTTTGTTTCATCAAAAACGGTTAAGAATTGAGAAAGATATAACCAAATCCATATTTTACCCGAGTCTCTATGAGATGTAATTCGGTTTCAGTCATAGCTATGTCAAATCTTCATTAAATCTCTTGAAAATTGGTAGAATGACGGGTATTTATATGCTTTACTATTTTATATAACCCGTTTATTTTTCAGAGTAATAATGGTTGAGATACAAATGGTTTATATTGGTATAATAAATTATACGCAAAAAACCGGTCTGGATCGGTCTGAACCGGTATCATGGACCGCAAAAGACCGGTCCTAGGTGGTTCGGTTCGGTTCCCTCAATATCTGGGTCGGTCCTGGACCGGTTGCGGTCCACGGTTGCGCGTTTTCGGGGCAAAAAACCGGACTGAACTGAACCTTTAAACACTATTCATGAAGGAGTTAGGGTTCTTATGTTGTTTTCTTTAATCAAGCAGCACTCAACCTCTGTAGGAACTTATGCCATTCATCCATTGATGCATCAATGGAGTAGAGATAGAATGTCAATATCTCAAAAGAAGTGCATGATGCAAGTGTCAAAATTGATTCTTGTGAACTGTATCACAGAGGAGATGACAGCTGAGAACATTGTATTCAACAGGCATCTTGCCGCACATCAAAGCCATTTACCAATTACAGAAGGAAAATGGCTTTGAAAGAGTGTTTAATGATAAGGAATATTCTAAGTTTAGTTATGTGTTTGATAAAGATGGAATGTGGAAAGATGCAGAATATTTTCAATATAAAATTGTAGAAGTAGGGATAAAGAAGTGGGGGCCAGAACATCCCAATACTTTGAGTAGCATGAATAATCTTGCATTGACATATTCAAATCAAGGAAAATATGAGGAGGCTGGGGAGCTGCAGCTGAAAGTCCTGGATCTGTGTAAAAGAGTACTGGGGCCAGAACATCCAGATACCTTAGGTAGCATGAATAATCTTGCATTCACATATTCAAATCAAGGAAAATATGATGAGGCTGGGGAGCTGCAGCTGAAAGTCCTGGATCTGTGCAACAGAGTACTGGGGCCAGAACATCCAGGCACCTTGGTCAGCATGAATAATCTTGCATTTGCATATTTAAAGCAAGGAAAATATGAGGAGGCTGGGGAGCTGCAGGTGAAAGTCCTGGATCTGTATAAAAGAGTACTGGGGCCAGAACATCCAGATACTTTGGGTAGCATGAATAATCTTGCATCAACATATTTGGGACAAGGAACATATGAGGAGGCTGGGGAGCTGCAGCTGAAAGTCCTGGATCTGCATAACAGAGTGCTGGGGCCAGAACATCCAGCTACCTTGGTCAGCATGAGTAATCTTGCAACAACATATTCAAAGCAAGGAAAATATGAGAAAGCTGCATAGCTGCAGCTGAAACTCCCAGATCAGCATAATAGGGTTGTAGCAGCATAGTATCACTTACCTACTTCTTGCATGACAGTTGCATTGTATTTACTTTTGTTTGTCATTTTGTATATTGATACTTCTTAACAAATCAACTCTACTTGAAACCAGAACATCTATATTGCATGTGGCTGTTCCAGGGTTACAGGATCCTCTACACATGACTCTGATCTCCAGAACCATGTCTCCCACTCCCTTCCACCTCCGCCATCTCGCCAGCCTGGACTTGTCAGGAAGTTGAGAAAAATGAAAGAATTTTCAAGAGTTAATGAGAAGACCGTGACACGTGGGAGTGAGGAAAGTGCAATCAGATGTGCTGACAAGATGCGTGAACACCTAAACAAGAATTACCACACTTGTTTTGTTAGAACTTAAAGTAGAAGTTCGGGGAAACTGTTCTGTATATTTTGTAACACTTGTCTAAGTCTAATAGACCATTTGGAACTAATGGTATTGTTTTTATGTGCAGGCACAAGTATAGAATTCAAAACTTAATAGTCTTCAAAGCGAAACAGCTTTTATTGGGACTATCTCGGTGTTCTGGGATTGTGTTCTAACTGTATACAAAGAAATGACAAGGAAACTGTGCTTTATAGACTTTTGTAACTCCCTTGAGCTTTTATTATACCTCTGATTTGATCCAAACCAGCAGTACTTTACAGTGCCCCTCCCATTCCTGCAGGAATCCGCCGGAATCCACAGGAATCCACCGGAATCCACCGGAATCCGCAGGAATGGGACCAGAATCCACAGGAATCCGCAGGAATGGGACCAGAATCCACAGGAATGGGACTGGAATAGAAGTAAAATCACAGATACAACATACATTTACACCAATACACACTTATGCATACTTCTCTCAGTACTTTTTAAGCTGATCAGTTTTCAGTATTAGTTCTGATCAGACCTTGGACAAAGTAAGGAGATATTATGTGACTGAATCTAACTCAGGCCTTCTGCTGACAACTTAATCTTAGGATTCCTTAGGACATTTATACTTAAAGAGGGAAGATTCATTCAAATTCATTTATTAAAAATACATGATGGAATTTATCTACATTGAATCTAGATAGAGGGAGGGGGAGGAGTGGAGGCAGGGGGAGGAGTGGAGGGAGAGGGGAAAAGTGGAGGGAGTGGAGGGAGTGAGGGGGGAGGAGTGGAGGGGTAGAGGTGCTGGGGAGTGGGGGGAATGAAGAACTAGAGGGGGGGGAAGAACTGAAGGGAGGGGCAGTGAGGGAGAGGGGAGGTAGGGAATGAGGGAATGAAGACAGGGGGTAGGGAATGAAGGGAGGGGGTAGGGAATGAAGGGGGTAGGGAGAGGGAGGGAGGGAGTGGTGAGCAGGAAAGGAGGGGGAGTAAGGGAGGGGGAAGGGGATGGTGCATAGTGGGTGAGCAGTAGGGAGAGGGAAGGAGTGGTGAGCAGCAGGGGAGGGGGAGGGAGTGGTCTCGTTGGCACGCATCGTCAACGCGTCCTCACGTCGTGTCGTCGTTTTCGTGTGTTGTCATCCTTGTTGGCGTTGTGTCTGCTGGGCGTTGTGTTGTGGGCGTTAGGCGTTGGCATGGGCGCTGGGCGTCGTTTTGTGGGCGCTGGTGGTGTACGTGGGCGCTGGGCGCTGTTTCATGTCCGCGGGGTGTTGTTTCGCGTCCGTTGGTGGTGTACGTGGGCGCTGGGGCTTCGTTTCGTGGGCGGCGTGTTGTTTTCGTATACGCTGGGGCGTTTTCGTGGGCGGTGGGGAGTTTTCGTGGATGTGGTGTGCCATTGTGCACTGTCGTGGGTGCTGGGCAGCCATCGTGGGTGCTGGGTGGGGTGTTTTCGTGGGCGAGGTGGTGCCGTTGTGTTTTGTGGGCGCTGGACGTTGTTTCCGGAGTGCTGGGGTGGTGCCGTCGTGGGGTGTGAGACCTGTTGCCGTCGTTTTGGTGCCACGTCGCAGTCAGCGACGTGGCACCTCATTTTCGTGTTGAGAAACGAGGGAGGAGAGGGGGTTGTGGGTGCTTACCTGGTTTGTGTGCCATGGTGACGTGGCACAGTGTTGTCGTGTTGGCGACGTTGATGGATCTCGGGTGAGCGGCGTGGTGGTTGATGTGAGCCCCCTCACGTCACTAAGCCCATGGCGGGCACTCACAACGTGAGGGGGGCGGTTACATGGAGCGACGACGGTGGTGGTGGGAGGAGAGAGGGTTGTGTTTGGATGAGCGTGAAAGCCGTTGCCAAACAAACAATTGTTTGGCAATGGGCATGTGCCAAACAAACCGGATTCCAGTTGCATTCTGTTTTTGCCAATCCGGGGACCATTCCGGTCACAATTCCGGAATGCCAAAATTCCGCCGGAATGGTAAAGCACCGGAATGATGAAAATAGCAGGCCTCCCTGCTAAATTTCACTCCTCCGGAATCCACCGGAATCCGCAGGAATGACTGGAATCCTGCAGGAATTAGGGGGGCACTGATAAGACCTCCAAACCAGTCTTAAAGACTCTTCAAGCACACTCACTTGGATTCATCGGAAGTAGTAGAGAGCTCTCTTACTAACTGACAAGACAACCTTACAAAAGCTTAGTGATCCCCACTTAACACACTGGTTCCAGGCACACATTACTTATGTCTGCAAAGAAAAGTCCTTTAATTGATTACAAACTTATCCACTACCTCAGATGCTACTGGGAGTGCGACAGCTGGTCAATGCAGGGGATAATTCCTTACGTTTCAGCCTGTGCATGTCCTCCTTTTATACTATTTCTATGTTTTCTATTTTTAATTACATGTCTGTGTGTGGCCTGATAGGTTGGGTTGATTTATAATGGTTTCTAGTAAAGATTTGAAGTGGCTCAGTTATGTGTGGCACAACTGAGCTGACCTCTTTTAAGTTTTCATAGTCTTTTCTCTATTGTGGCAACATGACACATCAGTATTGATGCGTACATGGGAACTGCCGTAGACAGTTGTCACAATCGGTTCAGCCAAGGCAAATGGTCTGCTTACTGATTTTCTCTCTATTATTAGATGCTACACATGGGTCTCAGACCACACAGCAAATCGTTCATAGTTTTTCTCTCTTGGTAGACTTCGGAATATTTCATGAAGTCGAGTTTTCTTGGGTCAATGATGCCATGATTTGTGATGTGTTGATGCGCGTGATGCATCTCACCACATGACTTCTTGGATCATGCTTTGTAGCATGTGACCAAATGACTTCTTGTGTCAGGTACATGTTGAGTTTCTACGCTTGCACGTTTATCTTAGAATTAATATCTTTTAATTGATAATAAGATGAGACCCAGGTTTGGTGTAAACTCCAACACCCTGTTGCTGAGGTGTCTTTACTCTAGAACACTCTGTAGTGTACTATTTCATGGTAGTGTAGCCTTTTATTAGACTTCGAGTATATTGAAGTGATTTGATCACAAACTGACCACAATTCCTACAGCCTGAGGTGTGCACATTTCTCGGAGGTAGACTTTAATTGACTAGACCAGGCTGTGTCCAATGATCCTTATGATCAAAGTGATTGTATTCTACTATAGAAGGTTTTATAGGAGAATTCGCTAAATTTCGCATTTTTATGGGTGTATTGTTACACTTTGTATCATTGGGGCACCATGGACTTCATCAAGATGAAGTCCCTGTGTTCCTAATCTTGAAGGAATTGTGAAATAGTGATGTGCAGGCCCAGCTTGGCCTAAAAGCCATGGTTATGGCCCAGATTTGGGCAGCTCAGCCTGTTAGAAGAGACACCTTGTGAGCTCTCTTGTTTACACATTTTATTTGCACACTTCAATCACTTTTTCTTTTTATCCCTTGTAAATATACTTCCACTATTTGCTAGTCTTTAGTCCAGGCCACCAAAACTTTTGTATATAAACCTATAAACTTCATTTCCCTCACCTCAGTCATCATCACACTTGTGTCTGACTCTGAGGTGGGCTACTTTATCTATATTTTATTACTAGAGCAGCTGGTTGGGCCTCAGTTGCGGTTTAAGATGCAGAAGGTCGTTTGGGACAGCACTTAGGTATCTCTATGTCACTATTCAATGGATTTTATCAACTCCTGCCCAATAGATTCTCCATACCCATTGTTGATGAAGGTTGTTGATTCATTGGGCTTTGTGCTGGCTCTGATGCCTCTGACTGGCTAGACATGCATCAGTCTGGACTCTGCTGCTGCTGCTCTGGAGGAAGCTCGAGGATGGATGTCCTGGGGAAAAAAGGATAGGTGGCATTGGTGTGGGGCTTTCTTTGCATATAGATATCTCACATGGGGTGGACAGACTCAGCTCATGGTTTTGCATCAATCAAGGGGGTGGCGGAACGTGGATCCCGGATATAGGGTTAGGGGGGGGGGGCTCCACTAGGGGGTCAAAATATTTTTTGTGACCTACTTTGGAAAAGTCCTGCCAATAAGCCAAATCGTGCTCCAAAAGAAGTTGGGAAGTTCAGATGCATGGCAAACACCTAATTTATGTATTTACTGTCCGAAATTTTGACTGAGAGCCCAAAAAAAGTCAACGAACTTTTTTATAACACTAGTTAGGTTCGTAAAAAGTATGGCAAAGTATATTTTACATATATATTCTAATCCAATACTGTATTACAGACAAGTGTCAGGGTTTACATGTTTACGAGCAACAGCAAGCTGGGTTCTACCTCGGGGTGACACTCCAACATGTCGTCTCGGTTTGATGCGACTTTCGTTGATCCCAATGTACTGGATGTGTGTCCTGGATACAAGGCCACTGACGTATCTGCCAGCAAAACCAAGTTCACCGCAACCCTCGTTCTGGCGGGAAAGCCATGCAATGTCTTCGGGAACAATATTCAAATTTCAGAAATTGTAGTTGAGCGTAGTGCTTGGAAGTCCAGTCCCAAGACTGCAAAAAGACTGAGACTGGACTGGACCCAGACCACCTAGGACCGGAAATTTTCAGGACTGTCAAAGACCGCAACCGCAGTCCAGCCTTTGGTCCTTCAGGATGTTAGAAATTTTTCAAGACCGACAAAAAACCGGTTTAACTGGTCTCAACTGGTCTTTGCAGTCTGAAAAGTTACTAAAGTATGTACTGTAGTCTTGCTGTAGTCTACAAATATTTATGTAACATTTCGACCTAAGTATTCATGAAATCGCCAGAAATCGTTGGGAGCGGAGTTTGAATATGTCCGTCACGTTGTCATCACAGTTGATTGTGTGGTTGTTCTCAGCTCCTACCTCTCACCACCTCCCTCTCGACTCAATGGACATGCCAAAATTGCATCAAAAAGGTATGTAGTCAGTTTTAAATGTTTTCTTACACTAATTATCACATTTTAGGACCCCCAGCCACTCGCATTCCTTGCCAGCAGCCACCAAGTCTCTCCCCTCCAACAAGGGATGTAGGTTGTTTTTTTTGCATCACTGAAGGGTTCTAGTGGGAGTTTGGGGGTTTGGAAAGGCATAGAAAGATACAAGAGGAGATAGAGGGAGTTGGAGACCCACCAGGTGCGTGAAGAGGCAAACCGTAACTGGCTTGTCTTTTGATTCCCTCACTTCCCTTTACTGCCACCTCCTAACAAGAATGTTGCACTAGGACGAACATGACGTCTATGCACCCCACCCACACTGACCAACACCTGCCGTTTCGAACACGAGCCCACGTCTTGAAAATGAAGCCATTGTTTCAAACACAAGCCCGTCACTTCAAACATGAGCCCGTCACTTCAAATGTGAGCCCATCGTTCCAAATGTGAGCCTGTTGTTTTAACCGTGAGCCCGTCATTTCACACATGAGCCTGTCGTTTCGAACATGAGTCCATCATTTTGGATGTGAGCCCATCGTTCAACTGCAACCCATGGACGACAGCCACCTCACTCACTGTGACCATGCATGCAACCAAACCATGGAGTACAGGCCACGTTATCAGTAGATACAATGTACAGGGTATCTACTTGAATATATAATTATTGTACAAGACCAGTTGCAAACTGGTCTGAACCGTAACTGGTTCAGACTGGTCTTGCAACTGCAAAAAACCATGTGAAATGGCTGTGGACTGGTCTATGATGGTTCCAGTCTCAGTTTTCGAGAATTTCAGAATGGAAGGACTGGTCTCGGCCTCAGTTTTGTCAAATATGGATGAAAAACCGGACTGGACTGGACTTCCAAGCACTAGTTGAGCGTTGAGTATGAGACTGGTGAGTTTGCTTTGCGTGGCAGCGTTCTGTATGTGGCTGACTACATTGTCCACAAACATGTGAAGGTTAGTAGCTGTTCATTGAAGTTGTACTACTTACTTCTTGCTTACTTGAGTATGTTTTCAACATAGGAACTTGGAAATTTCCTTTTTTGGGGGGTAAGGGGTGGGGGGGGGTAGGCTGAGGGTGCCTTAATTCGTAATGTGACTGTATATCTAAAATCCACAATCCGCTACCCCCTTGGCATCAATACTTTCCCATCCCCCACATAATCCACATGGATTCCACTGGATTCTGCTGGATTCTGCTGGACTTCACTACATACTGTACCATTATAACAATATTCACAAATCTGAACTGGACTGGAGTTCAAACATGTCAGTAAGTCTGTATATTTCCCTTTCCTGTCTGAGCTTTTCCTCACTCATTATGCATTGCAGTGATCTCCAATGGTCTTTTTTATCATAGTCTCAACCCAGTGTACCATCACTAGCAGTAGTGCACTGGTGTCCTATCATACAAGCAATATATAATGTTTTTATCAGAATCACTTCATTATTGGTCAAATATCAACCATCATCTAAGTTAAAACTAACCAATGATAGGTTGAAATTAACTGACATAACAGCCTCAGAAGGCTTAGGTTGAAAACAGCCATTTTAGGTTGTTAATCAACCAAAGTGACCCAGGTTGATCACCAACCTAAGGACCAAGGTTGATGAAGATCAACCTAAAAAGCAGTTGAATGCGACCTATGTTAGGTTGAGTTTCAACCAGTGTGACCTGCACAGTGTCCCTGGTGAGCAGGGGGCGGGTCTGTGCACAAAAGGGGGTGATGTGACCAAAAATAGCCGAGGCTGCTTGTCTCGTGCTTCAACAAACTTCAATCATCATCCTTTTCGGTTTCCTAACATCCCTCCTCACCGTCTGCCACATCACACACGTCACCAACCACGATGAGCAATAAAAGTAGCAAAGCGCAGCAGGCCAAAGTGGCCACAACCTACAACATCAACAACATGGTCCTAGGCAAAGTGCGCGGCTTTCCACCATGGCCCGGCATGGTGAGCCTCCTTGCGTCGAGTACATCCAACAGTTCTGATCTACATCTAGGTTGTGGACCCAGACAACGTCCACCCCACTGTGGCTCTCGAATGCCCCAGCAACAAAAAAGCCACGTTTTACTGCGTCAGGTTCTTCCCTTTGGGTGACCAGTGTGTCCTTTTTTCCATGTGTTCTCCGTAGTGTTTGAAAGTCCGGTTCGGTCCGGTTTTTTGATGCCAAGGGGCGTTAACCGTAACCGTAACCGGTCTCCCTTTTCCTCAGAAGTCAAAAGACCAGACCAGACCGCAAAAAGACCGGTTTCGGTCTGCATCAGTTTTAACCGGTTTATGACCGGTCTTTAGGCCAATATTTTAAGATTATGAATCGGTAAATTTATTAACATCTCTAATAGCTTCAAAACGAGCCCAAGAACGTTAAATTCCGTTAGGAATTGGTGCTTCTATAAAATAAGTCTGGTACATCTATTATTCCCAAAAGTAATTTACATTTTAATTCATATCTCTCTCATTTTTTTACCAAATCGTACGTTCTTGGGTGCGTTTTAAAGGGTATTTAAGGGGCTACAAAAGACCGGTCCAAACCGGTCAAGACCGGTTCACGTTAACCGGTTTTTTTGCGGTCTTTACATTTCAAAAATAAAAGACCGTAACCACAGGTCCGGTCTTTTGCAGTCTTGGTCCGGTCTGGTTACGGTCTTTTTCCAGTCACGAGACCGGACTTCCAAACACTAGTTCTCCGCCCTGACGTGGCCCACACTGACACGTTGCCTGCAGTGCATGGTTAGTCGAGAAAGACATTTCGAAGCTCCAACGACACGAAATTGAGTCGTATATCTCAGAGCCCCACAAAATGTCATCAGAGCTGTTGAATGGGTATCGCATTGCTCTGGACCCTGCGACGTGGCTTGTGGAGAAAGAGGCTATGATCCAGGATACAGTAGACATGGAGGAAAATGCTGAGATTGACCAGCTTGCAGAGACAGAGGATGGAGAAGATGAAGGAGCTGCAGGTTTGTGTTTTTTCATGTTATGTTTTATCGTCATTGGTGACATGCTGATTCCTTGATTTAATAGGCAAGAAACAAGGGAAGAAAAGGAAATGCGACGATGCTTCTGCATCTGTCAAAGAAAAGAAAGAGAGGAAGAAATCTGATAAACCAGCGAAAGCCAAGGCAAAGAAAGACGCTGATGCTGGAAGAACCACAAGGAAGGCCAAGGCCACCAATAGGGGTGCTCACAGTAACGTTTTTCAGCTGTTTTTCGGTTGTTTTTCAGTTTGTTTTTCAGCTGTTTTTACTGCCAAATCAAATATCTTCGCGGTAAAAACAGATGAAAAACAAAATGAAAAACAGACGAAAAACGGCTACTGTGAACTTCCGCCCCTGGGATTTTGGAAAAACAGCTTGAAAACAGCTGAAAAACAAGTCTTACATGAGTTCGGCATGACAGCTTCTGTTCAACTCTGCCAGATCCTGCATATCTACACACTAAGTTGACAACACACTTCTTTTTTTTTGCAAGTCCTTCTCTACTGTTGTAAATGGCATTGTACTACAGTCTGTATTCCTTATCTAACTACATAGAAGTAGAAAGGGAGGAGCGAGGTAGGAACACCTCCCCTTCAATAACCCCTTACTAGTCAAAAGTAGAGGTCTTATCAGTGCCCGCCTAATTCCTGCAGGAATCCGGTCATTCCTGCGGATTCCGGTGGATTCCGGAGGAATGAAATTTGGCAGGGAGGCCTGCTATTTTCATAATTCCGGTGCCTTACCATTCCGGCGGAATTTGGGCATTCCGGAATTGACACCGGAATGTTCCGCAGGATTGGCAGGAACGGAATGCAACGGAATCCGGTCAATTGTTTGTTTATTTTACTTTTGTTACCAAACAAAGGCAACGTTACCAAACAAGGGCAACACCCTTTCCCTTCCACCCACCACCAACCATCCTCTTCCCCGCCACCTCCATTCCCTCCCACCAACCACGTTGCCAACGGCGACAACCACGACGACGCCGCACCACCCAACAACGGCCACGACAATGCGAACACGCTAGGTGGACGACGAGGCGACGTGGCAACAAGGCGAGGAGCCGACGTGGCAACGGGACGACGACGAACGACGACGACAGATGTCGTCGTCTGTCCCAATTGGGATAGCCGCCCAGCGCCCACCATGGCACACAACAGCACCACCCCGCCCACGAAAACACCCCAGCGCCCACGGAACAACGCCCAGCGCCCACAATGGCGCCTTGTCGGCCATCGACAACCACGCGACGACGGACAACGACAACGACGTGGCACCACCACCATCCACGAACGCCCACCACGACGACACGGCAACGCCACGTCACCAACGAAACACGGCACCAACGACGACGACGACCACGGCACCAACGACGATGACCACACCGCGCCCACCACCACCACCACGATCGACAAACAACGACGACGACACGTCCACGTCCAAACCACAGCCACACGTCGCGGGACACGCAACGACGACAACGCAACGACGACACGCAACGACAACGCAACGACGACACGCGACGACGACATGCGACGACGACAACGCAACGACACAGGACGACGACACCCCCTTTATCAGTCCCCACCACCCTCCCACCACTCCCTCCCCCTCCACTCCCCATCATTCCCTCCCCCCTCCATCACTCCCTCCCTCCTCCATCACTCCTCTTCTCCATAACCCCACCACTCTTTCTCCCTCTCTCCACCACTCTTTCCCCCCTCTCTACACCACTCCCTCCCCACCACTCCCTCTCCCCTCTACCACTCCCTCTCCCTCTCCCTCCCCACTACTCCCCCCTCTCCAAATATTTATTTTAAAATAGTATTCAATATTGTAAAATACATTCATGTAGTTCTATTCAATAAATCTATCTGTTATAAATATAGTAACCACAAGGATTTCTGAGTTGTTTAAAAGATTCAGATTGATTCACATGATGGTATTTTCTATGATTTTGTCCAAGGCAGTTTGATTTAAATCCCAGTGCTATTTTGGTCCCATTCCTGCAGGAATCCACAGGAATCCTCAGGAATCCTCAGGAATCCACAGCAATCCTCAGGAATCCTCAGGAATCCACAGGAATCTGGTTCCATTCCTGCGGATTCCTGTGGATTCCTGTGGATTCCTGAGGATTCCTGCAGGAATGGGAGGGGCACTGTAAAGTACTGCAAAAGTATGTGATCCCTGCACCCCAAGCTGAATGCCCTCTGCCTGATACTCAGTCCTCAACATCTCTGCACTGCAAGGCATTAGTGCATGCATCGTGGCTCCTTTCATGGACGTGGACTTGGTGGGGGTACTCACATTCGCACTGGTGTTTGCCGTTGATTCACGGCGCACAGTCGCATTCAGGTTGGCGTCCACGTTTGGCGTCTGTGCTTGTCTTTGCGCTCGGGTTCGGGTCGTGGTCGCGGTCGCATTGGTGGCCGTCATGGCTATAGGGTTGATGGTTGTGGTCGTAGCAAGGGGGGGTTGTGGGGATGGGATGGTGGAGGATGGTGGTGATGATGGAAGAAGGCTAGGTGACGTGTAACATCGCAGATGTCCGAATCAGAGACTGAATTCCTCAATGAAAAACAAGATGAAAAAACAAACGAAAAATGGAAAGTTTCCGAAAAACACCTCTTGCAGGTGTTTTTCGGTTTCATCTCGTTTTTGAGCTATTTTTGAGTTGTTTTTGATGTTGTTTTTCAATCAAAAAACAAGATGAAAAACAAGCCGAAAAACGCTACCGTGAACTACCCTAATGGCAATGGTGCCTCTAAACGTTCCAAAAAGTCCCAAGCGATGGTTGAGTCCGAAGATGAAGGTGAAGCTGAGGCAGATGTGGAGGATGACGCTGAAGATGATGCAGATGCTGGGCCTAGCACAAAGAGCTCCAAGAAGGCCGTGGCTACGGCAGATAAGACTGCTGCGTCGCCCCCACCAGCGAAGAAAGCGAAACGGGACTGGGATGACGATGCCGATGAAGGTTAGTTTGCCCTCTTTTCTGTTTTCTTTGTGGTTTTGCAGACATGGTGGCTTGGTGGATCAGTGGAGTGGATCGTCAGATCGCTCTGATCTCTTGCTTGTTCTCGTTTCGTCTTTTCTCGTTGTTGCCACGATTGCCCTTTTTGCCCCTCTTTTCCCTTCCTTGTCCTCTTTCAATGCCCTAGACCCTTTTTCTGCCATTTCCCCCTTGTCTGAGAGCTATGCTTTGCCAACACCCCACTTCCTTGATGTTTTCCACCCTTTTCATCGGATTGCTTTTCGTAACCCCCATTTTCATGCTTTTGCCATCGTTGAATGTCCTCTGATGTTCCTTCCATTCTTTTCTATCTCTTCTTCTCTTCTGCATACCTATCTTTTGCTTGACCTTCCCAGTCTCGCTGTCATGGCCCATCTTTTGCTTTCTCCCTTCTGCTTCTGCTTCCATTCATTTTCATCTTATAGCTGCTTTTGCCTTGCAAACGCACTTTCCTCATTTTTCCCTTCTTTTTCTCGTTTCTGGTGCCTCTCCTTATCCTGGCGTCAACTTTGATCCTCCTCTGGTGCCTTTTTTCGTACTTTCAACCCTTTTTCTTCCTCTTCTTATGTCCTATCACCTTCTCCAAAGCACTGGTGTCTTTTAATTGTACCCCAGACGTTTTTTCCCTTTTTGTTTTCAAAATTCAGACGTCCTTTGTCTTTCTTGACCCCCCACAGTGTCTTTTCAGACCTTTTTGCACTTTTGAGCGCTTTTCTCGCTTTCTTGTACGCTGTATCACCTTCTGTCATTGTTTTCCTTCTTCTGCCTGCCTTTTGGCATCCTTTAATAATCAGCTTTCACCTGTGGCTGCATTCTTTTCGGAGGTGCTGGTGCCATTCAATCTTTGTCTCAGAGCCCTAAGCCTTCTTTACTTTTGAATTTGGGACAACAACCACCACCTTTCACGTTACATGGTTGTTTTTATGACCTTTGTGCACTTTCCGCACTTTCTAGTGCTTTTCCCCCTTCATCTTGTTCCTTATCAGCTCTCGCCGCTTTCTTCTCTCTTTTGCTTCCTTTTTGGTGTCTCTTTGTCTTCAGCGTTGATACGGAGTGTAACAATACACCCGTAAAAATGCGAATTTTAGCGATTTCTCCTATAAAACCTCCTATAGTAGAAATACAGTCACATTGATCATAAGGATCGTTAGACGCAACCCGGTCTAGTCGATTAAAGTCTACATCTGAGAAATGTGCATGCCTTAGACAGTAGGAATTGCGGTCGGTTCGTGACTGAATCACCTGAATATACTCGAAGTCTAATAAAAGGCTACACTACCATGAAATAGTACGCTACCGAGTGTTCTAGAGTAAAAAACACCCCCGCACAGGGTGTTGGAGTTTACACCAAACCAGGGTCTCACTTTATTATGGATTAAAAGATATTAATTCTAAAGATAAAAGCGCGAGCGTAGAAACTCGACGTGTACCTGATGCGAGAAGTCATTCGGTCACGTGCTACGAAGCATGATCCAAGAAGTCATGTGGAGAGACGCATCTCGCGCATCACAAATCATGGCATCATTGATCCAAGAAAACTAAGCTTCGTAAAATATTCCAAAGCCTGCCAAAAGAGAAAAACTATGAACGATTTGCCGTGCGGTCCAAGGAGGTCTTATCAGTGCCCCCCTAATTCCTGCAGGAATCCGGTCATTCCGGCGGATTCCGGTGGATTCCAGAGGAATGAAATTTGGCAGGGAGGCCTGCTATTTTCACCATTCTGGTGCCTTACCATTCCGGCGGAATTTGGGCATTCCGGAATCTGACACCGGAATGATCCGCGGAATGCACAGGAACGGAGAGTCAAGTCGGATA